AAAATAAAAACAATTAAATAAATAAAAAGTAAAAAAAAAAATAAAATCAATAAACATCATACAAAATAAAGTAAAATATAATAAGATACATTAAAAATAAAAAAGTAGAAAATAATAAAGAAAATGTTTACATTTTTGAATATGTGCGTTTCTCTATTTTGCCTACGGCAGTGATGTTGAATGTTTTTTTAAGCACCAGTGCCCAAACTAAACCACAATACCAAACCTTTTTTTAGTGTTGGCACTTTGAGATAAATTGATGTTGCGTTGCAGTCTGGGCACTCGGGCTTAAAAATGTTAGTTATCACTGTCTCAGGTGGACATTTAGGGGCATATTTATAACCATTTTTTATGTACTGTAATATAATATTGCAATTTGGCCACTAGATGGAGCTGAGGAGTTTTCTATTTAGGTCAAATGCATGTAATGTAATATTCTACTCTGGCCACTAGATGGAGCTGAGGAGTTTTCTATTCAGGTCCAATGTACAATATGTAATGCAATATTCCAATTGGGCCACTAGATAGAATCGAGGAGCATTTTCTATTCAGTGCCAATGAATGCAGAGTACTAGTCCATTCTGGCCACTAGATGGAGCTGAGGAGAGTGTTCTATTCAGGTCCAATGGATATGTAAAACAGTAAAAATAAATCCAAAACAGTGAAATAAATGCACTATGCTCCTCAGCTCCATCTAGTGGCCATAATGCAGTATTACATGACATTACATTCGACGGGAAATTCATTTTTTTTAATGATGATCACTAGTGGTGTCCAACAATAAGGGTGTCTGTTAAGTCATAGACCCGCGTGCTCACCCTAAATAAATAGAAAAAAATGACAGAGGTTTTAACATGTCTCAGCTGTTTCCAGGCTGAAAATAAGACATACAAATGACATCATGAGACCATTCTACTTTGACAACCATGGCCAATTGAGCATCACAAACCGGGCATCTACAATCAGCAACAGGGCTCTCTGAAGGCTACGTGATAAAACTATAGGGGCTAAAGGGCCATAAACAGAAAACTAGAGAGGAGAGTAACTATGGAATCCCCGAGACTCTGCATCATTAAGTCACATAACAAACAAAACCCCATAAATAGAACGTGACACTCTCCTTTATTCCCACTTCCGCACATGTGACTCTCTACAAAGGTGAATGGGCTTTCACATGACGTGACGTCAGCCGCAGACACGCTCACTCTCCACCTATCAGCTTGTTGCTGCTCCCTTCTTTGGTCCCGCCTCTCGGCCGGCACATGACAGTGGTGTCAGCGGAGGGCGGGGCTACGACACAGCCAGGGGTGTCAGATAGGTAAGAGGGAGAAGCGCAGAGGCCCATCACCGGGAGACGAGAGACGGTCTGTACGGTGTGTGTATCTATATATCAATATTGTGAGTATATAACATGTTGTGCTCTATGTATGTATATAGTATGTTGTGTTATATGTATGTATGTCTACAGTGTGAGTGTATACAATGTTGTTAAATGGCTATAGTATGTTGTGTTATATGTATGTATACAGTGTGAGTGTATACAATATTGTGTGTGTGTGTGTGTATATATATATATATATATATATATATATATATATATATATATATTGTAGTAGATGTGTGGAGGCGTCTGCTATTCAAATCCCCTTCTACCAAATATTTCCTGCCCTCACTTTAGACAGCAGCTCCACTCACCATCGTTTCTCTGTTTCGGAGGTGAGAAAAGTTGTGTGCAGTGACGGGGACGCTTTAGGCGGAGTTGCTCTTTAATACAGAGGAGTTGTCATGGGGCCCTATTTCATATTTTGCATACGGCCCCTAGGAACCTACCTGAGCCCCTGATGGAATTTAGTGATAGTTTATAATGAACAGAGAACAGGTGTTCCCACTGGAAGGATTCCCCTCACTTCCTGTTTACATGACAGCTGTATCATTTTGGATTTCCTGTTTGGATAACAGCGGTCCCCGGGATGAGGTGGGGGGGGGGGGGAGAGAGGGGTGCAGGC